ATATCAAATCATGTGTGCTTTGAAATTAATACTTGAAGTTCATCAATAGCATTCACTAACATTTTACAAAAATACATGTACATATTATTATTACCAAATTACTTTTAAGAAGTTGTTTACAAATAGTTGTGTAGTTCAGCAGAGAACACTGACTAAAATTTATTTAAAATTATCACATTTACATTTTTATTAATTGCTGAAAGTCTGTAGCAAATCTGAGATTACAAAAAAAAAAAAAAAAATACGAGATGGACTAACAATTAATAATGTCAAATGCTCTAGAAACGATGTTTTCTGTGTAAAGCACGCATTACATACTGAACTTTTCTTGTCCAATCTTCCGAGGCTGTTTAATAGTGAAAACATTTTACCCTTAAACAACGACTTATTAGTTCTAAAGTGTGTTTTCAATAATCAAAATCATCTCTTCGCTTTGTACAAGCCGCCATTTTCTAAGGACATGTACTTTCATTTTCAATTTTTGGATAGGTCGTTCGTGTATCGTTTCGTACCGATATTTGAATGCTTGTATCGTAAACCGTATCTTAGAGAAAAATATCGATATGTATCGGTGTATCGGTATATCGTCCCACCCCTAACAAATAATGAGTCGGATATTTCAATTGGTATCTTACGCCTCATGCAGAACTGTTCAGTTTATGGGCTGAAATTTAATCATGAGACATCTGTAATGCACCCATTGATTAAAATTACCATTAAAACTAGACAAGTGTACTTGTGAGGACTTAATCATTACCCGCTACAAAGACATAAAAATTCTAATAAAAGTACATGTACATGTGTATAACCAATAATATAATATAACTGGTTGCAGATGGTTTTCGCTCTTTGATGTCCGACAAATGACCCTCAGTAAACATCTGATATATTAAAATAAATGACATGGAAATGGTATGGAAAAACCCTCTTTTAGTTAATTTAAAAACAAAGAAAAATATTGAATACATACAGATTCTTTGTTGACACATGACTTTCAGGTGACGTAAATATAATTAATAATGAGGACCTTAGATCACTTATTTTAAAAGGTCCTATATACAGGGAACCTCGATCCTTCAACTGGCGTCGAAAGTTCATAAATATATGTGTATTATTGATTCTGTTGAAAATTACGATGGGCCAGATATAAAAAAGAAAACGTTGAAACCTTGTCAGACTGGGTTAAATGTATCAGATCTATGTTAAAGTCGCGTCTTAAAAGATTGAGGGGCACTATGAAAACCATCTATCCTTCTGTGTTCAATAATCCAGAAGTAAAAAAAGAATTAGATAGATTACATGATCAGTACGTACTGGTCCCTACCGACAAAGCAGGTAACAACATTGTCTTCGTTTGTAAGGCTCATTATATAAATTGTATTTAAGAAGAACTAGGATTAAATTCTGAAAGTGGTAATCCTACTTACTACTCATAGTTCCCTTTCTAAGGAAGAAATTCTTCAAAATCATATGTCAGTTTTAATTACTTTTTAACATTCCATAGAGCCAAAATGAATTTGAACTACCATATATATATAATGGATTCTGAAACTTCCTAAAAATCCTTACAAACAAAGATACAATGCGGGTTCCAGTAAATATTCAACAAAGCCTCTTTCGTTACTCCTCACTATGATTTTGACAGTAGTGAAGGAAAAACTGTGCTACAATATAGTCAAGAAATGGTGTGAATCAGATGTGGATACTTAAAAGTTCCAAGGAACTTTTAGACAATTTGAAATCACAAGATTTTATCAAAATCAAGATTAAAAAAATACGACTTTCTACTTTATACACAACTTTTCCCCACGATACATTAAAGTCCAGGCTTTTTGATATCATTGACAGCTGATTTTTTAATGAAAATGGAACTCATATATTTACTGACCTGGTCATTGGTCATTTGCAAAATTATTTTCTTAGCACACACTCTGATTGCACACACAAGTACTCTGAAGTTGACATCAAAGGGATATTTGAATTTTTGATTGACAATATCTATGGGGTTTTTTTGGAGACCAGGTATTCCAGCAATCTATTGGAAATCCCTTGGGTACAAATTACGCTCCGTCATTAGTAGACCTATTTTTATATTCACATGAGGCAGAACTTGTGCCAAATCCTATGCTTTAAAAAAGAAGAAAACACTTGCTGTGGCCTTCAACTCGACATTTGGATACTGTATACAGGGTTATTTTCGCCCTTTCACATTTGGAAACAAGTTTGCCCCTTTTTAAATTAACCCAGAAAGATTTTTGTTAAAGATATTATAGTATTTACTTTAAATTCGCCCCGTTTTATATTCGCCTACTTACGACGAGGGCGGAAGGTGCGAAAATAAAATGGGGGCGAAAATTTCCCTGTGTACAGTATATCGACGACGTATTGTCAATTAACAATGGTAATTTCCATTCCTACGTCGAAACGATATATCCTGGTGAGCTTGAGATAAAAGATACCACAGAGTCTGACACATCTGTTTCATACTTTGATATTTTACTTGAAAAAGACGTTAATGGTAATCTAACAACCAAGCTTTATGACAAACGTGATGACTTTAACTTTTCTATCGTCAACTTCCCTTACTTAATATGCAGCAATATACCTTCTTCACCTGCATACTGTGTTTTTATAACTCATTTGATTCGATACGCAAGAAAATGTTCTTCGTATGAACAATGTCTAAAACAGGGTAAATTATTGACAAACAAGTTGATGAAACAAGAATATCAGTTTAAAGTTTAAAGTCAACATTTCGTAAGTTCTATGGTAAATACAATGACCTTGTCAGCAAAAATAATTTATCAATGAGTCAAATGCAGACTGACGTTTATCATATTAATTGTCCATTTTGTATTGCTTTATGCATGGACTTTGATATTGAATACTGTTCGGTATATCAATATCCTTCATACAGTAGACAAGACTGCTAACGCACCACTTGTGATCTATTTATTCATTTTTGTTTTGTTAATTGAATACTTGCCTATTTGGTACTACATGTGATTATCCCACCTGAGCTGCAAACTCAAGTGAGCTTTTCTGAAGACATTTTAATCATCGTCAGTCGTTACTTATTCAATGTAGTAATATATATGAAAAATCGTTTAATTATCTTCTCCTCGGATTTATACATGTATGTATATCTTTGTACTTTCAGTTAACCTAGCTTTTCGAGGCCTGAACATAGGTGAGCTTTTTGACGGAAATCAAAGCACATCTCAGACAATTCGAACAGCAAACGTTCAGCTTGGAGGCGTTTTTATCATTTCTGCTGTGAATGTACATGGTAAAATTCCTCAAGTGTTTGAAACATAATCAAAAAGAATATATTTTTGAAAAGAACACAAAAAAATAATCTGTTTTCTAATTGTTTTGTCTCTCTTTCTCATACTTGATTATGTAATATGATAACAGGACCTGACTATCAAAATCAAGGATAGTTATCTATAATAATTATTTGTACGTTAAAAATCTTTTTTCCTTGAAGTTTTTCCAGGAGATTCTCCTCATCTGACCATAAAAGACTCTGAAAACAGAACTAGTTACTCTTCTGTTCTATTAACAACTACGATTTACCTCGATCGAGTGTTCAAAACAAAAAGTTTGGCTATGTATTTTAGTAAAAAAGTTGCCGTTAAAGAAATAGAGGTGTTCGGTGGTAAGTATATCTTGTATCATTTATCTGAAGTTCTTTTTAAGAGAAAATGTGCTGATTAATGTTTTAACTTTGTAACGTTTTGTAATATATATTCTAATTTTAACAGGGTTGGCAAAAAATATACTAAAATATTTTCCTGTACGGTGGGAAATACTGGTAATTCTCGGGAGTTACATGTACCAGTATTTACCAAGAAAAACTGGGAAATAAGAAATAGCTATATATCTTTAATCATCTTATGTCGGTATACTCACAAGATAATACCTCGTTTTCACAAGATAATTTCTCGTTTTCAGAAGATAATTTCTCGTTTTCAGAAGATAATATCTTATTTTCACAAGATAATATCTCATTTTCACAAGATAATTTCTCATTTTCACAAGATAATATCTCACTTTACTTGAAAAAGACGTTAATGGTAATCTAACAACTAAGCTATATGATAAACGTAATGACTTTAACTTTTCTATCGTAAACTTCCCTTACTTAAGCAGCAAGATACCTTCATCACCTGCATACGAAGTATATATATTTCAGTTGATTCGATACGCAAGAGTATGCCCTACGTATGAACAATTTCTAAAACGAGGTAAATTATTGACAAGCACGCTGATGAAACAAGAATATCAGCAGTCTCGTTTAAAGTCACCATTTCGTAAGTTCTATGGTCGATACAATGAGGTTGTCAGCAACTACAATTTTTCATTGAGTCGAATGCTGACTGACGTTTTTCATTTCAATTGTTAGTGTATTATTTATACACTGAATTGACGGATTTTTCCTTTATTTCCTGATCATGACAAGGAGCCCACGGCGGGTGTGACCAGTCAGCAGGGGATGCTCACTCCTCCATGGCACCTGATCCCTCCTCTGATGTTTCGGAGGTCCGTGTTTGCTCTACTCCTATTTTGTATTGTTTTAGGGACTTTGAGATTGAATACTGTTCGTTATCTTCATACCCTTCGTTCAACAACACAGTTGTTCACATATAAAACTTATCGCTGTGTTTGCCTATGAATTACTTTGTATTGTGACCAGTGCTCTGTAATGTGACTGTGACTGGTCCTTAGGCGATGCTGTCTCTACCTATGTACATTGTACCTGTAACTATCTCTGGAGTTTTATCTTTCTGACCAACACATGCATGTACGGTAAAGTTCCCAGCGGGTTTGACAGTTCAACAGGGGGTGTTTACTCCTCCTAGGTACCTTTAAGCTCTAGTATTTCTATGAGTTTGTGTTCTGTCTTGTTTACAATTAATTTTTTTTGTTATGATAATGATCACCATTCCTTATTTTCACTAAAAAATCAATTCCAAAAGGTCAAAGCCTGAGCTTACCGTATTGACAGCCTGGTCCCATCCATCCTGGTTCACACTGGTTCTCAGGTCCTAAGCACGCTCCCGTTTTATCATCAAAGGCCTTTATACAGTGTTCTAATTTAGTGCAATTTTTTGTGTTTCCATACTTCCTCCCTAATTGAAACGCACAGTACTTAGCTGTAAAAATTAAGATCTTAGTTATTTATTCGCTCCATTTAACATTCTTGTATTCCTCATGTTCCTTAAAGTAATAAATACGTATTATTTAACAGGTGTTGAGAAACACATCCATGTTTATTTGTTTTTAAATCTATGAAAATCTATGTTATTTTTAAAACGTCTTAATTATACTTTAAGAACAATTTTAGCAAAAATTAAAATTAGATGTTAGATCCGCTCGTAAACTCGTTACACTAAGTGCGAGCGGATGTAACATCTAATTTTAATTAGATTGAGCAAAAAATCAAGTCAAAGTAACTAAAAATTATTATCAACATTTCCAAAGTAAAATTAACTTACCATCAATAAAATGACTGTGTGAAATGCCAATAAAATAGATATACATGTAACAAGAAAAGAAGACCGTCATTATGACGACTACAACAAGAAGGAAGTAAATCGTTTCATTCCAATTATCGTTGTATTCAAATGCAAGTGAATGATACGTAGAAACATCAAGTACATGTAATAGACTTTCAAGTTAAAGTGCATAAATAGAGATACAAAAATACTTTGATACAACGGTTTCCAGAGCTTTGTATGGATACTTGAGGAATATTCCCTAAACAGTTGCTCATATATATCCCCTATCCTCTGCTGAACTGGTCTGCTCATTGTTAAATATCATCTGAAATTGAACGAAGCATTCCCTTAATACAAAGAACATTTAAAATTTTTTTTAAAAAATACGGAATATAACCCCTTTCAAAAAATCTTATAAAGGATTAAATGCATTTGAAATCATGTAGGTTCCTTAATTTCTACCTCAAATTTCAACTTTTAAAAGAGATTGTCTAATTTATAGTTAGTGCAACTAATTCGATTCATTTAAGCTATTCATCTTATGCTATGCTGCCCTCGATATTCCTCACGTTTTTCAACATAAATTCATGAGTGTCTAAAATGTCTTTAATTAATAAAGCAACGAAAAAAATCTTTTCAAAAATCAAAAATATAAATAGTATATATATTATATACGTTATACGATGTAATGACATAGTTCTGCAAATTCCTGCATTGATCTATTTCCTGAAAATAAATTTACTTCCTTTTCCGTACTGTTAACGTAAACCTTGCAATATTTAATTTGGATCTATACATTAATGTATTTGGTCTGATCGGTAATTTTATAGTAAAGAAAATATTTCTTTGGAAATTTGAATAATTATGTATTGTCAAGGTGTTTGTCAAGGTGTTTGCAATATTACAGTGAGACCTGTCTAATATTAATCCGACATGCACTAAGAGACATATTTTGTGTCAGAATAGACAGGGTGTCGGATTGCATAGTGTAAAAACCATGGAAAGTAGTAAAATGGAAAGAAATTTCACGTCGGAATTAGCAGTGTGTCGGATTAGACAGTTTTCACTGTATTACTTCAATATTTGTACATACATGTGCTTAAAATATTTCTAATGTAAGCCTTAACTCATATCATATATAAAGATAAATGGCAGAATAGAAAACATAAGGGGTACATTTATATTTTTGCTTAAGACTAAGACAATAATTCTTCATATGAACCAAGTTGTACTGTAGTTATACAACTTTTTTCTACTAAACAATTCTATAACTGATGAATGCTACGTATGTACGTAAGTTGATATTACAACAGAAGCTAAATATCGTTGGAAATTAAAAAAATATTGAAAATAATGCAGTTGATTTGATGACTTATTTGAAACTGACATCTACCTTGTTTGGTATTAGTTATTATTGAACACTTTAGAGCATACTTTGAATTGTTGTCTTATGTGATAAAGAAATTGCAGTACATGAAAGTCATGTTTACATTTTACTACAAATACGTGGGTCGGGTAAATCTACGGGGCAATACGTATGTTAATTTTGTTATTGTGGTACAGGAATACCGCATGAATTTTATAATCTGACCACAAAATGTCAGTAAAACAATATGTCATTAAGTCACATGGTGACTTTCATTCTTTCATACTTCTTGATAGACTGAATTGTCCTTGAATTTTTCACTTATTTCCCGATCATAAAATGAAGCACATGACCGGTGTTGACGATCTGCAGGGGATGCTCACACCTCGATGGTACAATATCTGATGTTTATAAAGACCCGTGTTTGCTCTACTCCTTTTATTGTTTGAATAGACTTTAAAGCTTGAATATTGTTTGTTTTATACATTTATTATACCTCTTTGAATTTAATTCAGGCAAGCTACTCATATATAAGTTCATAAGGAGAAATTTTTCTATACAATCGAATACATAGCATTATATAAGAGATCAATAATGCACAGAACGACAATAATGTCATTTTGCTTTAATTAAAGCTTATAAAAGTTCTTCCATCGCAAATATGAGCAACTATAGTTTATAAATGTTCTATTTTTCTATCATTGAAATGCTTGATTATAAATTTTCAGCAAAATTTTCCCATGTCAATCTTGCAACTCATATTGATAATTTTAATAAGTTTTGCTTCTTCGTGTGTAAATTCTTATACCATTCTTTCTCCTTGAAGTCATTAATTAAGTTGTACCGAGAAATCAGTGAGGAAGATTTAAAAGTTAGTCGTAAAGATAAGACTTATACCCAAACAGTAAGGAAAAACCCTTTTCTATAAAAATTCACAATTCTGAATCTATCCATCTCCTTAATTTATATGAAAATATGAGAATCAAATTAACTTTTACTTACGTATGTAGATTTACTTATATGTAAATTTGCACACATAAGCAAATTTTCGTCGTATAAATGGGGTATGAGATGCTAAAATACACTCAACAAAAAAGTTAAGGGTTATAAAAACTTTCATTTATAATTTCTACATCGAAAAAGTATATATTGTTTGAATAGACCTTATAGCTTGAGTATTGTTAGTTACATCCATTTATTATACCTCTTTGAATCGTTACTGTATAAAAATATGACAAAGAAACATGCTATTTTTTCTAAATTGCCCCTAATGTGAAATGGTTTTTGTGCCTATTTGCTTTTTGTAAAATAGTCATCAAACTATTTACCGGCAGCAGGATTCTGTTTCCTCGCCTTTTCATATCCGATCTCTTCCGGTTTTATCCATATTGTGACGTGTAGATAGTGATGTTATATAAGTAAAATCAGCTTCGGTATAATAGAATATTTATTTACTGACTTTTTGACAAATGCAAGCTCTCAAAAGCATATATTTACCTCGTTTGCGCCTCGAGAAATATTTGCTGTCTTGGGGGATAAACATGCTAATGTCCTCATAGACAGTATTTAGGTTATAATATTTCATACATAAGTAGCCTTAAATAACGGAACAATGAGTTCCATGTTCATTAATGTGTTGTTTGTAGGTGCAAACCTGGAAATCGTACATATCAATGTACATATTGTATGTACTTTGTGAAATGCATAAAAAATTACAATATGCTTCGAAGAATAAGACGAAAGACAAGCATAAAATTTCAGATGTATTTTTGAAGAAACTCATAATGCAATTAATCTCATTTAGTCGATTGTTCAGAACGTAAGTCTTAACATAAGCATGTTAACATAGTTACCTTGCATGTTGACATAAACAATTCGCATGTCTACATAATTATGTTCCCCAAACGGAGTTTGGGAACATATTGTTTTTACTCTGTTTCTTATTATTATTATTTTTTTTCTTATTTGTTCTCCGGTACTTTTTGTCCGCGAGTGTTCTCAGAAACTGTTCACCCAACTGAGCTAAAACCTTTTTAGGGTTAATAGGTGTGTAGCGTAGGTGTGCGGAACGAAGGTCATTTTGCGCGCATACGCATGCACGTGCGTGCGCGTGAAATGAGTGAATTGGCTGATATACTTAATATAGCTATAACTTTTACATTTTTTGATGAAATGATTTGAATCTCATTATATAAGGATAGATTAGTAGTGTGATACTGTCAAATTTGCATGACGTGCGCTTCGCTCTGATTGGCTGAAACAAAAATCTCAATATCTTCTCTGTTTTTTGACAAAATGCTTTGAAATTTAAAACATAGGCATGCTTTAGGATGTTCTACAATATGGTATATAAGAATTTTCATCAAATCACGCGCATGCACGTGCGCTGCAATCTGATTGGCTCAAATTTTAAATGGCTATAACTCCCGTGTTTTTCAACCAAACAGCATGGGATTTAGAACGTAGACAAACATAATGGACTCCTAGAAGAAGATATAGTCATCATGAACATACTTGCACGTGCATGAACGTGCGCTTCGCTCTGATTGGTTGAAACAAAAATCTCAATATCTTTTTTGTTTTTTTGACAAAATGCTTTGAAATTTAAAACAAAGGCATGCTTTAGGATATCCTACAATATGATATATAATAATTTTTATCAAATCACGCGCATGCACGTGCGCTGCAATCTGATTGGCTGAAACTTTAAATGGCTATAACTCCCTTGATTTTCAACCAAACAAGATGGGATTCAGAACATAGATAGATATTATAGACTCCTACAGCAGGGAATGGTCATCATGCATATGCATGCACGTGAAATGAGTAAAATTCCAAATACACTAGATTCAACATATTTTTGGATTTAATGCTGTAATATTTAGTATATTAAAATATATCAATAGTGTAGACAAGATGATATGGTCATTACGCACATGCGTTCAGATGCGCATGCGTGCAATGCTTAAATTGAATACTTCTGGTAAAACTTTGTTAAAGTCTTAAATGTATGGCGTTTGTCTTATTTAATCAAGCTTACAGGGAATAAGGCACCAAAAGGGAGTTGGGGAGCGTTTGGGGAACATCTGTAACGGTTCCCGTTACAATTAGCACTAGTTATGTACCATGTTAACACAAGTAAGTTGTATATCTACATAATTATCTTGCATGTTCACATATTTATCTAGCATGTTAATATAGAAAAGTCGCTTATCAACATAATTATGTTGTATCTTGCATGCATGAAATATATTAAGACAACGAACAGTATTCAAAATCAAAAGTTCATAAAACAATTAACAAGAGGCCCACGGGCATTATAGGTTACCTGAGTATCATGCAACACAACTTTCAAGCAACTGAATTTGGTTTGTGTTTTAATCCAAAAGCCAAGAAATGCTTAATTTTAAAAGAGGCACCATTGCTTATCAAAGAGCAGATTTCAAAGCAATCAATTTATTTTTAGACAAAGTAAGCCCCCCCCCCCCCCCCCCCGACCAAGGGGCCTTGAAATTATCCATTTTGATAAAGGTACTTTTCTTCATCATAAGGCCAGTATTTTTTAATTTATAGATTTAGTTACGAACATCTGAATGAAAAAGTCGCATAGGAGGAGGAAATTAAAAAAAAATGGGGGGGGGATAAATTAATTATTGACATTTGTACATTCATCTTTGCTTCTTTTTAATGCTATCCTAACAGGATCCTTGCCATTGGACACATATTGGTTACAAATAGAAAAGTAGAACATTAAATTGTTTATAACATCATCTGCCAGGTTTGAGCCAGTGATATAAATCTTGTGATGTTGATCGAAATATATTTTTAAAAATCAATTCTTTATAACTCTTTCAATACATCTTCATTTATTAATATGTGTTACTCGGGTGAATGTGTAGACATTGTTCTAAAAATAACATCTACTTGATACCTAACATTATAATTCCAATCAAAAAAATAGACAGGGAGTGTACTGGGGAGTAGGGTGAACATTTTTTCAATTAAGTGTAAAATATTTTTTCTGGCTGTCACAAACGATACTACATGTCTGTATATATTTGTATATACTTGCTTTTAAATAGTTGATTTTTTTTATTTCTTAAGGCTATTGTTTATACCTCAAATGAACTTAACTTCTCTCATAGTTTTATTTATTACATCTGATGCATAATTAAGCAATCTTTTTCTGAAGAAAGATGCTTAGAATGTATATAAGCTACAACAGAGACCTAAACAATGCCGCTAGCATTAGCTACCACGGGTAGTTTTAAACCTGTGGGAAGAAAATAATTTACAAATTACAGATACTTTTGTATACGAATACATAATTATCTCACCAGTATGTAATTGTGCAACAAAGTCGACAGCATTTTATTTGTCCTCTAAAGGGGTGAAACGTTTTGAATGGCATTCCTATCAATACATTTTTACACTAAACCAAACTATGGTGCTGCTATGAACTTTGCAGATCTGTTAACCCGCCATGTTCATCTTAAAACCGGAAGTACGATATGGTAAATTTGAAATCTCGATCCCGATTCAAATTTGACATCGGAAAGACAAAATTTTTTTTTTTCCTGAAAATTCAAAAACTCTAGCGGCGGGTTTGCAAACCTAAAAATAAAATGCTGGCCTTAAATATGTAATTAGATCATTGGCATATTAAGCAGGAGCAAAGGAAAAGATGTTCAAAGAATTCATGATTTTCACTATACAATCATTATAGCCCCACCCTAACACTATACAATCATTATAGCCCCACCCTAACACCAGAACCCCTGACCCAGGGGCCATGACGTTCATAATTTTGGAAGAGGCAGCCTAATTCAACATAAGTTCTATGTACTTGGTTAGTTTATTTAATACCCATGAGCACTATATAATCACTATATAATCCAAAGAGTCCCGCCCTAATACCAGAACCCCTGACACTGGGGCCATCAAATTCACAATTTTGGAAGACACAACCTTATTCAACATTACTATGTACGTAGTTTATTTAATGCCCAGGTGCAGAGAAGAAGGCCATGAAATTCATAAGTTTGGTTGACTCAACATAACTATATACTTATTCAGTTTATTTAATGCCCATGAGCAGAGTAGAAAATTTTCAAAGTATTTATGCATTTTCACTATATAATCTATTTAGCCCCGCCCTAGCACTAAAACCCCTGACCCCAGGGCCATGAATTTCACAATTTTGGTAGAAGACTAAATGCTGATTACAACCATGCAAACACTTTGACTGCTTGTTGTCCAGGAGTAAAGAAAAAGATTTTTAAAGATTGCACTAATTTTAGTGGTTTTGGCCCCATCCCTGAGGCCCCCGTGTGAAATTCACAATTTTTAGTTACCCTTTACCCTTAGATGCTTTGTGCCAAATTTGGTTGAAATTGAGGCAGTGGTTTCAGAGAAGAAGATGAAAATATTCAAATGTTAACACACGACGCACGAGCACACGACGACGGACGAAAACGGATAGCAATAGGTCACCTGAGATTACTCAGGTGACCTAAAAATAGGAACAAAGCAAACAGGGACCTCCAGAACATTAGAGGTGGATCACATGACATGGAGGAGTAAGCATGTTGTCAGATAATGGTGTTAGTTAGTAAATTTAACAACACTAAAATTAAATTATATTCTCTGATAAGATTTGTATCTTGCATGCTTACATAATGTTCGTGCATGCTGACATTTTTTGCTTGCATGTTAACATAATTTATTTTGCATACAGGGGCAGAAATATGCACCATGAGGGTGTTAATAAAAAAAAAATGAATTGAATAAAGACTGGTCATGTCCCTTCTTGTTGAAAGCAAGAATTAATAGATTAACTGTAGGAGATATTGTCTTGTTATTTAAATGGTTATTCTCACTTTAAATTTCGACACGATATATTTTGATGAGCTTAAAATAAAAACAATCACGCAGTCTGCAGGCACATCTATATCATAACTAGATACTCTACTACTACTACCACTTATACGAGCCTGGTCTCGGATAAGTGAGTTTATTTCAGTAACCCTATGTCCCTCCATTTCGGATATCTTAAGTCCTTTCAGATATATATTATATTCACCCTTAGTCACAACGTATCATTCTGGATAATTTATGTCTATTTTTATAGATTCTAATGTATAGTTGTTTCCTCCTCTTCCTTTTTCGATGATTCGATAAAACGGTAAGGTCATAGAAAATTTTATGAAGTTGAATTGTTGCAATTTTTTAATTTTTCCCATCCACCCTCCTCTTGTTTTAGAAAAAATACTGCTGTTCTTGTTATGTCATTGCAGATGAAGACTGCTTGCTTGGTCCTGCGTCCACAACAGCCATGTAGTAGTGAGGATTGTGCTCCAATTTTCCTAAATGGTGTCCTGCTTGATCTAGCTTCTTCATCAACTTGTGTTGCAAAGTGAATTCTATATGATTGCGTATTCTGCAAAGACTGCCTGTTGGGTAAAGCGTCCACATTAACCAATGTCGCGGTGATGAAGTCTCCGTTTTACCTATACCGTAACGACTGCTTGTTAAGGATAGCGTCCACTTCAACCTTATGGTGGTTGGAATTCCTAGTGTTTGCGTATTCCGTCGCACATCAACGCAATTAGACGAGTGCAACACATATTCTTACGCTCATTCCACTGTTTATTGACTTAATTGATATTTTAATTGATTAATAATTGATTGATTGACAAGTAATTGACTTGATTGATATTTGAATTGATTGATTGACTGATTGATTAATGATTGATTGAATTTGATTGATTATTGCATTGGTGACGTTCATGCACTTGTGACCTACCCAGTGCATGATCCGCCCGATTTGGGTCGTCACATTTGTTTTATTGATTGTTGATTGTGGGGCAGCCCTGTGGTAACCCAGTAAATTATCATCGCGGCCAGAAGCGCCATATTAAACAAGCAAAAAAACATCCATATTGTTTGTTTGATTTATGAGGAATCTGAAATAAATTGTCATGGTAAATCTACCCAACACAATACCAACCCCTAAACCTTCGATTGTCATTTTATTCACATATGTATACCAAAGGTGAATCTATACCGACTTCATGTTTGGCCTTGCATAAAATTTATGTTCCAACTCATTTTTTAAAAATAAATTATTTATGCAAGTCGCATACATGGTATCCAGTATTTTCAATGTATGGTTCTAGTCAGGATCGATTTCCATACGATATCGACATCGAATTCGTTCTTGGACATGTATGCTGATGTTTCTGGAGCTCTGCTCCTATTTGCATACTTCGTTATCGCCTTATATTTCACTTGTCTTCACAGCGCTTTGTTTCTCGGGTTTTTTTTTCTTTGCCCGAATCTGTTTTGTCGTTGGTGTCTAAAGCAAGATCATATTGTATGTTCTTCTCTTCTTTTAAACAGTATTCAGTAAATTTCACATCATTGGTTTGATCGATTGTTTATGCAGAAAAACTGACTTCTAATCCCCCTTTTAATGCTTTTTGGCATCCAGAACCTGTCACGTTGTTGTAAAACATAAAATGCACTGTGTTTCCGTTCCTCCAATTCAATTTATTCTCACATTGTATAAAACAACATTGAGAAAATACAAAGGTCAATTTCAAATTAAATGATAATTTCAAACGAAATATTATAAAAAGCATATATAAATGGCACAAGGCACCGGTAAAAAATAAAATGTTTTATATGCAAATCAATTTATATAATAAGCAAATGTCTTTCAGTAGTCCGGTCAATTTTTTATTTCTTTGTCATTGAAAGTTGGAATATGCATCATACTGCTTCATGAACTCCATGACAACATCATAACAAAATTTGAACTGTTCCTAAAACGTAAAGTAAAAAATAGGATATCAAGTAGAATTCATAGTAATGAATTTAACCCCATCTTCAATTACCAATGTAATAAAATGTCTTCATTGGTCGTATTTTGTCTGTCATGTAATGTACCCATGGCCATTTGTTTTACCTATATCATTTACTGAATTTATTATATTTATTTTCTTAATTATCTAAAATAAGATAAGTTAGACTATAATCTTACAACATTAGGGATGATACTTGGTCTCACGCTGCGCATCTGTTGAATAACAGAATGTATTGCAACATCTTGCTCTATTTTCATTCTCTCTAAAACCGCTTGCAATACACAAAACAATCCACTTTTTTCTGCCCCATTCCTATTGTAAGAAAGTTAAATATAAATCTAATAAATGAAATAAACAAGAGGCCCAGGGGCCACAGCGCTCACCTGAGCACATCGGATAGGAAAAAGCACATATCAGATCAGAACTGAAAGTTTACTGAGGTGGGGGGGGGCTTGAATTTTAACAACCCCCCCCCCCGGGGATCATAATTTGAACGAACTAGAATCTACACTACCTGAGGATGTTTCCATATAAATTTAACTAACCATGGCTTTGAAATACTTGAAAAGAAAATTTTAAAAGGTTGCCCTATATATTCCTATGTTAAATTTTGATCAGTCATTTTGGCCCCACCCTACCCCGGGGGTCATGATTTGAACAAACGTGAATCTACACTACCTGAGGATGATTCCATATGAGTTTCATATTTCCTGGCCCAGTGATTCAGGAAATTAAGATTTTTAAATATTTTTCCTATACATTCCTATGTAAAACTTTGATAGGCCATTTTGGCCCCACCCTACCCCTGGGGGTCATGATTTGAACAAATGTGAATCTACACTACCTGAGGATGATTCCACATGAGTTTCATCTTTCCTGGCCCAGTGGTTCTTAAGAAAAAGATTTTTAAAGATTTTTCCTATATATACCTATGTAAACCTTTGATCGGCCATTTTGGCCCCAACCTACCCCCGGGGGTCATGATTTGAATAAACTTGAATCTACACTATCTGAGAATGCTTCCACAAGAACACTACCTGAAGATAATTCCATATGAGTTTCATCTTTCCTGGCCCAGTGGTTCTGGAGAAGAAGATTTTAAAAGATTTTTCCTATATATTCCTATGTAAAAATTTGATCGGCCATTTTGGCCCCACCCTACCCCCGGGGGTCATGATTTGTACAAACTTGAATCTACACTACTTGAGGATGATTCCATATGAGTTTCATCTTTCCTGGCCCAGTGGTTCTGGAGAACAAGATTTTTAAAGATTTTTCCTATGATTCCTATGTAAAACTTTGATCGGCCATTTTGCCCCCAACCTACCCCTGGGGGGTCATGATATGAACAAACTTGAATCTACACTACCTGAGGATGATTCCACATGAGTTTCACCTTTCCTGGCCTAGTGGTTCTTGAGAAAAAGATTTTTAAAAAATGCCTTTAATTTTTCTCTAATTCATAATGGAAAAGGGCGTGGCCCTTCATTTGAACAAACTTGAATCCCCTTCACCCAAGGATACTTTGTGGCAAGTTTGGTTGAAATCGGCTCAGTGGTTCTTGAGAAGAAGATGAAAATGTGAAAAGTTTACGACAACGACGACAGACGACGGACAAATTTTGATCAGAAAAGGTCATTGAGCCTTCGGCTCAGGTGAGCTAAAAAGGACGTTAGAACTGTAAGCAAAGTTTCAAAATCAAATGTCTTTTTGAAAGAGCGAGATTGAATTTATCGTGATTGTTAAAAAATATTGACCATTTTTACTTAATGTTAATAAAGGACTTTTTCAACGCTTTCTTATGTGATTTTTAAGATTAATATTGCGTCAGTTTTAATTGTATAATATATGTGGAGGGGGGGGGACGGAAGGGCCACTTGAAAAGAGACTGTGGGGACAACAGAAAGTCAAGGTGTATATTCAATTAAAAAAGCTTCCCGAGAGAGCGCCCAGAAACCAAAGTTCTACATACAAAAAATGTTTAATTATAACTTAAACCTTTTGATCTTTAAATCAATAAGGGTATTCCGTAGGCCATAGGGAGTTGTGGTAAAAAAATTCTTTGTAACATCTGAAAAACTTACCGACATATCACGTAGAAACAAGTATTGAAAGACAAAATATCTGATTTATGACCTTGAAACTTGACCTTCTGACCCCAAAATCAAATGGTTTCCTCCTTAGGCCACAGAGAGTTGTTATGTAAAATTTAGTTGCAAAAACAAGCTTCAAGACTTCTCGAGATATGTTGTGGAAACTACAGTGTAACAGACACAAAGACAGACTTATGGACGGACAGACAGACCCAATTTGAAAATAATACTCCTCATTGAAGCCACTTTCAGTTAAGGCAGGTGACAGGTGACAAAAAAATATATTTTGAAACATCTGCATGTATAAATTTCTTTTTTAAAATTAGAGTACGTTTATCGTTTGAGAACCTAAGTATGTGTTTTCCGTAAGGATGCTAACGCGTAACCACTCGCACTAAAATATATAAATGTTTTCCACAAAAATATATTTTATCAAAACTGTTTTCTTACATGCAGTGGACAACAAGTGGGCCTGTGTTGTGCCCATCATGGTGTAACTCTACAGCATTTATCAATTTTAGGAAAGAAAGAATTGATGACGGAATAGTTGTGGAATCCGACCAGAAATTGCATTTGAAAACCCGGATTCGTTTCTCCTAAAAATGTACATGCATAAATAAATAAATTCAATTTCTTATGCTACATGTAATAACCATCTTTATGTTAAAAAACGAGTTGATTTTCGAGGATAATTTGAAATCATTAGCTCGCTTATTCTTTCAAGAAATGAACTATTTAGTAAACAGTATAAATACTTCATCCTCTTCGTCGGCTTTTAGCTTGAAAAGAAGATCGATGATAGTGAAATCCCTTTCCTTGGTAGACGAACATTCCTTAGACACGACGACCATGCCATACTCTTCACTTTCAGATCCTTCTGGCCAGTACATTCCAATATTCTGAAAATTGTTTTTAAAACTTTGTTTCTGGGCATCAGAAGTGGTTTATGATTCAGATACTAATGACAGAGTCCCAGGAATCTATTCATAAAGTCTTTCAGGTAATTTGGATGCCGTGTGATTATAGACTATACATTAATTGTTTAATAAAGCTGATGAGAAAAAATATATTAACCTGCTTGTCATTCACCTTTGAAGGTACAGTCTCGTTAAGCATTACAATAGTTGAAACTTTTTGATGAGAAAGAAGCTTCCAAAAGTCGTCCACGGTGTCTCTGAGAGGCATTTGTGTCACGATGAAAGATCTTCTTGTTTTGTAGGCCTACAATAAAAAACATTCAGAAAAAATGAACATACGAGTAAATTATAAATAGTTATTAATATACTGACTGGTTTAGATAAAAAAAGTTAACATTAATTTACAATGTTTAATTACCGGAAGAAATACAGCGTTTATGTATACACGCTTATTTTCTTCATCTCTTAAGTCTGGCATCTCACTGTCAACTACAAGTAAAATATATACGTACATAAAATCGTTTAAGTGTACATGTATATCTGTGATTCAAATGATTATTAGAAATATGTATTCTTTGTGCGCTTTTATTTCAAATACAAGGATAAGAACTATAAACGAGATCATACATTTTAATTGTCATTCATAACCAATACTTGCTATTACATATTTTATTTCCTATTCTAAAATAGATTTGTAGTTTAACAAAAGAAAAAAGAAAAAGTCTAAGGGTCGACCTGAGTGTGACCACACTTGCCTGGCAACACATTACTATAGCGGTTTTTCTTCTTATTTAATGGTTCTTTAGCAAATCTGAAAGCAGACTCTGGAATTTCTCCCAAGGAGGACAACACGTTCTAAAAACAACATAAATATTCAATACAATTAAACCTAATTGGCATGTCTATATAAATGATATCGCATGGGATTTCCAAATCAAATGTTTCCAACAAAACAATGCATTCTCTTAATTGTTGTTAAATGAAAATGCAAAGAATTTTAGCATGCGAGCCTAATTCCTGTTTTGCATTAAAACAGTCATTATGATTTCAACAAAATATCCATTTAAATCTAGATCTTTTTTTTAATTCAACCTGGCGTTATTCTTCAGTTCAATTAATTTGCCACAAGAAAAATTGCTTTTGCATTACTTATTTGCTGCCATTTCAGTTTAAATGTACCTCAAATTGTATATCAATATTTCGTTTTCCACTGTTATGGTCTATGTTCATCAGATCTTCGTATAATTTGGGGAATTCGGCCGTAGAGGGATCAGATGATGTACACATTAAAGCCTCTAACAAAGCACTGTGTACAAAAATATACTGCTCCTAAAATGATTTATAAATATAAACATGAAAATCGAACTTGAGTTTCGTTGTATAAAATTTACAACATCTTTTGTACCAGTACTCTGGTCATCTCCAACTACACTGCAATATTTGATGTAAGAGGTAAAAAAAAAAGGTACAGTGAATGATCTCAAATACTTAAAGAATTAAGTCCTTTCCTACTGATGTATAATTTGATTAGATTTTATTCGTACATTAACCTACCAGAGTTTGTACCATATTAACACGCTGTCTTCTCAGAGTCTCGACACATCCAAACACATCCACGTATTGAGACTCCTTGGCCTGTTGGATAAGGTAGTCTAACGCTATAAAGGTCCCTGTTCGTCCTATCCCTGCACTGCAAGAAAGGACTTATATGTTTATAATAAGGAAAGCAAAAAAGAAAAGTATTATTCAAAAGTATCTATTTCGAAGATAGATATGTACATTGTACACCTTGTATGTAAAATACGGAGGAAGACTGAAATGGCATCAGGATCAACAACCGGTTAGATGTAGATAAATCGTCGTTTGAATATATATTTTTTTAGAACCTGCGCATTGTTGAACATAATTTTTTTTAAAATATAGATTGAATGACTTCATCATTTCGCCTCAAGTAAATATTTTGAATTACGCCGAAATAAATTCACATGTATGTAGAGTTGTGATAATCATATAAATATGAGATTTTTTTTATGAAATTGAGCAAAACTTGTATGATGAATAAAAGATTCAATATAAGCAATTTGAAATATTTTGACAAAATTAAAAGCTTAATCCAAATTTTAAAAGTTAGATATTTCACTTTACCTGATTAACCCTTTAATATATATCATTTGAAGATTTGTTGATTAATTAATTGTCCACTTTGAGAATTTTTCATTCATACAGATACGTCATCAAAGTCCGCCTATACTTTAAACTTACGAGTATATACTAAAGCACAGGAAATTATGGTGATAGGTTATTTTTTTGTTTATTACTTTTAAGCTGTGATAGTGTTATCATTTTGATTCTTCTAAGTCTTTGTAGGTAACTGGTTAATCTTCAGGTTTAAATTTTCACCATTAGAATTATTAATTCAAAAGATCATTCAATAATACCTGCAGTGCACAACAAGGGGTCCTTTACCCGGAGATGCTGTATTCTTAACTTTAGAGTGGAAGTGAACTAAAGAGGAAGCATACAGCGGTACTCCTTTATCCGGCCAAGCAGTGAAGTGGAATTGGCGGACTATTCTCTCCTCTTTACTCTGTAACAGAATTGGCATGCTTTCATTTTTGTTTTAAATTATCAATATGCCCAATCTTGGAAGTCATAATTTTATTCAATAATAAAATTCATTGAATGAAAACTGATGGAAAATTCTAAGCGTAGCTCCATTCTAATGACAGATTTACTATTACTGTAAACCAACTATCTCGGATATTTCTCGCACGCGAATAAAAGTTGGTTTCCAGTAATTCATGTTAAGAGATTTCTGCTTTATATATATTTCATAGATCGATAACAACGTATATTTTTAGATTAAATATCGTCAGAAATTTACTGAATGAACACAAATATTAAATAAAAAAAAATAAATTGATCCATCAAAACTACTTTTTAGTTATTTCAACCGTATTTTTTAAAAATCTAAGATAATATAGTGAAAGGTTTGAGATGCTAGGTTGTACAATGTTATATTATAATGTTCATGATGAAAGGCAAGAAGCATAGATGAACAGTTTCAATTTCCTCTTAGATTTTTCTAACATCTGTAAAATGTTGTTCCGTATTAAGTATTTTTCTACGACCTACCTCAAGGATTTCACACATGTTATGTTCCAATAGTATTTTACAAACAATTGTCATAACTTCTTCCCAGAGTCACTGGAATATTCAATTTGGGAAGTTTTAAAGCGATTTAATGAAAGGCTCAATGTAATTGTACTCGAGATTGTCTTACAAACATGTCAGGAAAACGAAAATCCCGTACAAGGTAATATTGAATTTTTCAAATCATTATTAGTGCATACAGACTGCAATCAAAGAGTTTCTGAAACTGTGTTGTTGGTCATTCTAAAGTCATGACGATTGAGGTCCACCTTCACGTGTGCTTTATCTTAATGCACTAATTGTACTAATGTTTTTGTTTTTGTTTTAGGAATATAGGTAACAATTATAGTTTCTTCTTGGGTAGGCTGGGGGTTGGAATTAAATAGGTGTTTGCAAAAAAAGACCAGATAGATGTTACTTACTTTCCTCAAAAGTAATGTTCGAATAGTATAGTCAGCGAAGTTTTCAACATCTACCACTTCTATATTCAAATTTTTGGCAGACATTTCATTCTTTTCTGGCCAGTATTGAATGCATTTAACCTACATAATGAGAAAAATAATCCCAGTTCAATATCATATTTTATAAAGTCAACGTTTCGGGTATTATTTCATAGAAGCTATGATGGCGAATAGTGATCAATGGTATTTATCCCATAAACAAGAAAGTTGGTCAAGAGGGGAAAACCTCAAAATGTGGTACTTAGAAGTAAGGCATCTCTGTCGACCTATCACACTCACAGTGAGTTCCTCGTTTATGTATGAAACAAAATTTGTATACATGTATTAATAAAGATTCGATAGCATTAAAATAATTGTTCAAATTTAAAACTACTTATGATCATCGTAATTTATGATATGATTTAATTTGATACATATTTTATTATGTAGGAAATACTTAAATGGATTGGGCAGCAGGCATAACCTATACAAACCCTCTCCATAATCGTATGATCGTAATTTATACACATTTTGCAACAGTCATAATGCATCAACGTTTCTTTTAAATGTATATTTACTACGTGTAATGATATATTACGGAAGCCCATCTAGGACCTATCAAAAAATCTTTTTGAATTCGATATAACGAATTGTCGAATTTGTAAAAAGGAATTTAATTGGTTATAACAATTTCCTAGAATTCGTTATAATGAATTAATCTGTTAATCTGAATTATAACGAATTTAATTTGTTATAACAGATTCATTGAATTTGTTATAACGAATTTAATTTGTTTTTACAGATTCATTGAATTCGGTATAATGAATTTAATCTGTTATTACAGATTTGTTGAATTCGTTATAACCAATTCAAGAATTTGGTTATAACGAATTAAACAAATCTATAATAAAAGATTAAATTCGTTATAACGTTATAACAGATTAAATTCGTTATCAACGAATCTGTAATAACAGATTAAATTCGCTATAACGAATTCAACAAATCTATAATAACAGATTAAATTCGTTATAACGAATTCAATAAATCTGTTATAACAAATTCGATATAACGAATTCAAAAATATTTTTTGATAGGTCCTAAATGGGCTTCTGTAGAATATAGCTTAAGCAATATACATGAAAGAATTTTTAAAAAAAAGGGTGATGAACTTATTTTACAAATCTAGAAGTCATCTGCATGGTGCAGTGCTGAGTCCGTTTGCTCTAGAGTCAATGAGTAAGGATTTTATCCTTACGCCCCGGTTCGAATCCTACTGCAGAACGTAGAGCCTAGTCCTTCAGATAAGACCGTTTAAGAAACTGAGGTCTTGTGTAAATGCAGGTGCTAGCATGGAAAAGATCCCTCACTACTCAATGACAGTAATTTGTAGCCCTTCCACGACAAGTAGTTGCATCTCAATATATCGGAGAAAAATTTTCAAGGTCAATTTAATCAAACAAACAAACAATAAAATCTTGATTCAACAAACAAAGAATAAAACCTTGCATTACCTTGTCATCCTCAATAAGATTAGTAAGCATGACAATTTTTTCACAATTTTCATTCCAAACCATCCACCAAAAATCTCCAATTGTTGCAACTAATGGTCCTATGAAACCCAATATTAAATGGTTATTAAAAAACTTTAAGTAATCTTAAAATAATGAAATCTTGATATAGTGGGACACTTTTTTTTACTTTAATTTGGTTTCATTCATAAAATAATTAAATGTCTTCTTAATATAAATACCTTGAGCTGCAATGTAGGACTTTACATAGAGAGAAAGAGAGAGAAAGAGAGAGAGAGAGAGAGAGAGAGAGAGAGAGAGAGAGAAAGTTATATGAAAGAGAGACCTACGTGTATTGTGGAAGCGTTTATGAAATCCGACTTGAAATGCTCATTGTCAGTTTTTAATTTTACTCGCGTGTCATCATCTGTAGGGAAAAAAAAAACAATTTATAAAATGTTATTATAAAGTATTTCTGAAAATGTATTTGTTCAAAGATATATAACTTTGTTGTCACATAGGAAATACTTATGGAAACGTTCATACAAGGGTAAATATTTTTATATTTATTCTTTGATCTATTTCCTGGGGATGTAGCTGCAGTCGTAGGAAATTGAAGTCCAGTGAAAAATTTCTGAAATTAATAAAACAAAATTATAGTCATTATTTTTAAAAACTAAGAAAAAGAAATTCAGATAATTATTATTATATATCTTTGGCATTGCAAATACTTAAAAATCATAAATTGAATATCAATAATGCTCGCAATTTTTACAAAAGATACCATGAATTCTTCGTTGAAGTATTCTTTTTGTCTCCTTTTCTTTTCCACGAAATCTTTAAACTCTTTAACTTTAACAGATGTTGCTGACGGTGCTAAATTTGGTGAGAATTCATAATAAACATCCTGTCGCGCCGTCTTTGCCTTTTCTGCATCTGAGCTATTGAGGTTGTAATAGGTAGATGTCTCATCTACTGCATGTAAAATTATATATACTTTGCAAATGCGATATATAAAGATCATAAATCGATTATCAATAATGCACGCTTTTCTTTTTTTTTTTTTTACAAAAAATATATTAAAAATTTAAAGCTTTATTTTACATTTTCAATTAGATTTATAAATTTCCATATCAATTTTTCAAAAAAAAAAACAAGAGGCCCAGGGGCCACATCGCTCAACTGAGCAACTGGCCAGGTAAAAGCCAAAATTAGTTCAGTATTGAAAAGTTTACATAAATTATGAAAATGGGTTCTGGGCAGGGGAGAGGTATTTAAACAAATCTACACTTCCATAGAATGCTTTTGTGACAAATTATGGTTTTGTTGTTTACAAGATGAAAATTTTTATTGATATAGCCTTTGTATTCATTTGTCCACTGTATGGTCCACTATATGTCGATTACAGCTGATTACAATTACCCAATCCCCATTCCTATGTTAAACTTTGATACCCCATTGTGGCCCCACCCTACCCATGGGGGTCATGATTTGAACAAAATTGAATCTACACTACCTGAGGATGCTTTTAAATGAGTTTCATCTTTCTTGGCCCAGTGGTTCTGGAGAAGTTTTTTAAAAGATGCCATTATTTTTTCATTAATTCATCATTATCTCCCCTTTAAAGAGGGCTTGGCCCATTATTTGAACAAACTTGAATCCCCTTCACCCAAGGATACTTTATGCCAAGTTTGGTTGAAATTGGCCCAGTGGTTCTTGAGAAGATGAAAATGTGAAAAGTTTACAACGACAACGACAGACAACAAACAAATTTTGATCAGAAAAGCTCACTTAAGCCTTCGGCTCAGGTGAGTTAACAATCAAACAAACAAAGAAATTACAAACTTGATTTTGGTTGATCTTTCTGCAGCATTCTATTGGTATCTTTTGAATCAAGATTATTAAGACTGCTCATGGAATGGGTTTCAGGTTTTCTGGTATAATTGGGTTTTTCACGTCGTCTTCTGTTTCATTAATATGTTGTGCATAAGTTCTGTTTATCAACTACCAATATAATTTCACAATTTTTTTTGTCTTTAGTTAAATGTTAGTTAACAATGGTATTCTACCTGAAATAATTTGATTTATTAATTAATATATGTCTGAACTTTTCATTTCTAGAAGAGAAAATGTGCCGAGTTTTGAAAAGTTTTGAAAGTGTAAATTATGCAAAAACCATCATTTTAATAAGCATTTCGCAATTTGGTATGAATGATAAAAGATGAAGATGAGAACAAAATGATCGATCAGAAAAACCGAACAGAGCATATATTTTACCTCCAAACTATGATGACAAGGATGATGAATGGAATTGTAACAAATAAAATTGCACCCACTACACCCCCAGCTATTACACCATTGGGAGATGATGATGATGATGACATTGATTGACTCTCCTCTGAAATCAAAATGTAAAAATTGTACAAATTCAACTTGTCATTACAGGCTGTTTTAAGTAGTCTTAATATTGAAAACGAGTCATTCTTGAAAAGAAACCTATAAAATAAAATTGTGAATAATTTTGTTTTTAAATTTTAATCATTTCGTAATGATATATTTGAATCTGATGTAATAATTCTCTTAAAAACATCATACAGACTATCATTTATCAAATAAAATCTGTTAGGTTTTACATTCAAGTGTACTTTTAGTGCAAGAAATTTGAAAAAGATATTGATATTTTCATTAATTGTTTTGATTGATTGATTGTATGTTGCTCAACATCACTCTCAAGAATGTTTCACTCACTCCTCCATGGCACCTGATCCCATCTCTTATGTCTTGGAGGTTCGTGTTTTATTTACTACTTGTTTTATGGACTGTTGATCTTGAATAATATTCGTTATCTCCATATATTTCAAAGAGACGCCACCACTTGCCAATGGAAAGCTCCATTTTTTTTCTATGCTCTTCACTCAGGGCCAAGGAGCAGTGAAGGGTATTTTTCGTGCCAGCACCAACTGCGGCACGGGACCTCGGTCACATCAGAAGGACTGGTCTCCACGTCCCACAGTGGGATTTGAACCCGCAAAGTAATTATCAACTCCTTACTTCCCTACTCTTGAGCTGAAGCTCTAACCACTGCGCCATGCGGGCGACCTTTAATTGTCTTTAACATTTATTTGTTTTGAACATTTAGACTACAGACACATACATGTATTTTATTTTCTCTGTTGCAGTTCATGAAGTTTTCCAAACACTTGTACTTATTACATGTGCATGTGCTTGATAGTCTAGAATCGAGTTCAATTGTTCTTCTATATCACATTATCTAGGTTCCTACCTACACATCCCGGTAGCTGAAGATTTCCATTAAGTTGACAGGTTTTATGTTTTTCTCCATTTATAGGGTGTCCCTTTAAGCATGATATAGTAATAGTAACATTGTAATCAAACTCCGTCAAATTTGGTGATAGGATAATACTTCTATTATGAAAATCTGTGGGTAAGCGGCATTTTATACCTATAGATAAAAATATATTAAACGGCAAAATTTCACATTTTATATAAACAATGTAATGATTTACTTTGATATTTAATTTCACAAATAGTATTTGATTTATATGGAACGTACGGTTGCATTTTGGCCATTTTGGTATTCTCCATTGATTCCCATAATCGCATGTTGCAGTGGCATTGTCAGATATGTAAAAACCCTCAGTACAAGAAAAAGATATGATATCATTGAAAGAATACTTCAAGTACTCTGGAGAAACTTTCCGATGTGGTGCCTCCTTAATAACACACTGAACGCCTGCAAGTATATGATATACATCGTATTTGTAGTATAAATATATTTCAGGTGTAGCACATTTTCTTCAATCGTAGTAGCTCTTTTTGTTTATTCTCAATTTCCGCTATTTTGATATCATAAGAAAATAGCGGGTTAATTTGTCGTTTCAATTTGTAGAATTATACTTACTTTTACAAACAGGAGGAACATGAATATTAAATTTGCCATCCGATTCACAAGAAGAGACTGTTGTCCCGTTAATGTTAAATCCTTCTTCACACGTAAATTGGATAGCTTCTCCGTAAAATACAGATTGCCTTGTCTCGTTCAAAATAAGATTATTTAGACTAAATTTTTTAGGAACATCACATTGAATTCCTAAAAAATAAAAAAAATTAGGAACATCACACCGAATTCCTACAAATAATATAAAGTGGAGGTAAAACTTAAGTACGTGTATACTATGCTTTCGGCAAGAATGATGAAAGAAGTCTGCAGCATTAAAAATATCTCTGTCAGTATGTGTTTTGTTCAAGTCATAATGGAAATGGGCATCAGTTTGTGACCTAGTAGAATAATTGCACAAACAACCCATAAATGGTCAAGAATAAAGTACTGACAGTGCAAGAACCATAGTTTTACTTCTGACGCACTAAGAGATCTACATGTATTTTAACATTTCTATATACATGTATGCCCACTGTTCCATACCATCTGATCCCACCTCTGATGTTTTGGAGACTCATGTTTGCTTCGCTTCTCTTTTGTAATGTTTAATGGACTTTCGAGCTCGAATACTGTTCGTTACCTCCACATCCTTCATGGTATTAATAATTCAATATTTTAAAATATGAGTAGAATTTACCGAAAAACTTAATGTTCATATGAGTCTATTTTCAAATTTAATCAATTGGAAAAAAAAATCCTAAATATTTATTCTTTTTTTAAAATTTGGCACGGAAATTGGAAGTTAGGTAAAAAAAAAATTAAAATTTTCCAAGATAGTGTATAATTTAATAATTCCTTTTCTTATTCCATATACATTAATTTTTTTTACGGCAACTACATACGTACGTGAACAGTGAGGTAAACTTTGAAAATTAAATGTGCCGTTCAATCCACAGACTGCAACTGATGTTGCGTTTAATTTGAATCCCGTTTCACAAGTAAACCAAATTGATTCACCGTAGAATACCGCTTGTCTTGTCTCATTTATTAAGAGCGTGTCATTTTTGGAAATATCAGGAACTTGGCACTTAATCCCTGCAATACAAATATATAAAAGCTGCATTCATTTTCCGATATCATTATTGTGTGGTTACAAGCTCTTGCTAAAGATAAGGAACAAGACAGTGTTGCATTGAAAACTATACTCAATGATTGATTGATTGCATCTTGTTTAACTCCGTCTGGAGGATGTTTCACTCATATGGAGACGCCACAATTTGCCAATGGAGAGCTACACATTTTTTCCTATACTCAGGAAGATTGAGCAGTGAGGGATCTTTTTCATACCAGCACCGGGAACTCGGTTTATACGGTCTCATACGAAGGATCAGCCTCCACGTACCACAGCGGGATTTGATCTCACGACGTAAGGATTGACTCCTTACCTTGCAAATCTAGAGCAGACGCTCTAACTACTGCGCCACATGGGTTACCTAAACTTAATGAATCTAATGTAGGGTAGGTAAAAATGACCCCTCAGAATAATTCCAAAAGTATATTTGACCAAGCTTTTGTTTTAAACCCTAATTATATTGCTATAAAAAGGCTTTAAATGCAATATGCTACTAATTATTCAATGGAAGTATCGTTCATTTCGTTCATTTCTTAATATCAATATTATTATTTTTAAAATATACACTATTGATTTTGATTCCAAGTAATGGTACAAGATTGCAATGCAATATCCAACACAATTGCTATTTCTCTTAAAATGGGATAGGTGCACATCAATCTAAGACTTATTATTTCAAATGTAGGCTAAAAGGATAAAATGAAGTGAAAATACCACAATCCTGAAACAAAATTATCAGTAGCATAGTACTTACTATGACATGAAGAATTGTGTTCAAATGTAAAGGAACCATTAGATCCACATATTGCAAAAGAGGATCCTTGAAGATAGTAACCCTCTTCACAGGTAATATTTATCGTCGTTTTGTAAATGAATTCCGGTCCACTGGGTAATATTACCGAGTTTGGCAAGATGGGTTTTCCACATTTGATGACTGATTAAAATTTTGTAATAAATAATACATGTGTAAAACAGTTATTATTGTAGAGGTAAATACATGTACATAAATTACGCCGGTTGCATTCACCTTCAAGGAAAAAATTCATTTGCCGACAAAGTAATTAATATTGTAAACAAAAAACTCTGCGTAAGTTTAACACATATATAAGGCACTTTTTTTTTTTACAAAGAGTCAGCTTAGTGAATGGTTTCAATCATAATCATTACATAATCAGATTATAGACGTTCTTACGCTCAAATAATACTCTACCGGTACAGTTTGGGGGACTTTGAAAGATAAAACTCGAATTCGATCCGCACACTCCCATCGAAGATCCTTGTAACTTGTACCCTTCTTTACAAGAAACACTGATAGTTGTGTTATAATCGTATTTGTTTTGGACAGGGCTTACAGTCATCCCCGTTGAAATTGGCGGCTGATTGCATGTTACAACTGCAAGAAAAGAACAATGGAATGGAAACATACTTCTTGAAAATAAAAATACCATAAATACCACTTAAATATTTTCCATATAATAATCTAGTACATAAAACAGGAAAGTCAAAAATCGATGAAAGTTTCTAAATACAAGAACAATCTGGCAAACGTTTAAAACTATGAACAAAGGTCTGCAGCGTCTTTACAAACATTCTTATTCTCCGGAATACTGGAATTTCATTTTACAAGTAAATTGTAGTTTTTAAAAGGAAAAATAATCATCAACCCAATTAAAGCACACTATTCCGTAGAAAAAGGAGAAAATGATGGATAAAAAAAAACTAGGCAAATATTTTCAATATGGTTTCAATGACATCTTTTCTGCAATGGGAATCTTTAAAGTGCGAAGCGTAGTAACAGCAATGTGAGGAGTCTTTGAATGAAAACGAACAATGATCAATGTTAAAACTATAATTTTTTTGAACAGGGCATAAACACAGAACTCAGGAAATTCCGGGGAAGTTATCGTGTGCATAGGCAATCGGAACTCCTCGGATGTTTCGTGAACTCAACAAAAACATTGTTGAGTTTAATAATTCATAATTGCTTAAAGATAATTATGGCCACCACAGATTTAACGGGGCCGAGTCTAATTATTTCTGCCCTAGGGATTTTAATAATTTTTTGATAATTAATTTTAACTTTTATATTTATTGTTTTAAGATTAAAAAATCGAATGACCCCTTAAGAAATCCCGATTTCTTAGGCGGTCATCTCAAAAGTTGTCAGATTTTACTACTGGACCCTATATGAATTTGTTGCAAACAAGCCAAATTATTTTCCCCATATTTTTTGTATACTAGTATCTGCCCTAGAGATTTCTTTTTCATTCAAGTTGATGAAAATTATTGTAAAAAGTCACCAAATTGTGAAATTTCAAAAAGGTTTACCATCTAGGTTGGTCTAGGAATTAATTATTAAGTTAATTTTTTTTTCAAGGCCCAATACCTCTAAAATTGCCATATTACGGTATAAATACATATCAGCGCAGATGAATTATCGGCGTTTATGATTTTTTCGGTAAAAATAGCAATGATCACATTGCTAGTATGTTTCTCTGAATGTTCTGTCATCAGTTTCTAGTATAATATCCACGGACATCTTGAACATACATGCGAGTCATGCGTCATTCTTCAGCGTCATGCATTGCTTTCAAAATCCAAAAATGGTGACGTCGTTAAAGCCATTTCAGCGTTTTTCCCTGATTAATGTCGTAAATTTACATTTTCAAACCAGTAGGGGTTATAGATAAAGTTAATTTTGTATTAAAATCAAAATATTTGGCAAAGGTGTGCTGTCGCACAAGAGACTATTAAATTGAAATTAATAGTTAAATTTGAAAAGTTGCGCAAAGTCATGCGCACTCGAATCAGACTCGGCCTCGTTAACACAATGCTGACTTTAAACAAAGTTATTAAAATTCCCGTAACATTAATCTATCTGTTGGTGGCCTGTCTCGCTTAAAAATATGATCGTTCTCAGAGCATTACTAACACTTTCAGCAATACAGAACGGTAACAGTGGTGGTTTCTGAAAGTCAAATGATCGATGTCTTTAAGGCATGACATAAACTATTTCGTAAAACAACTATTACAAACGTTATCATGGAACCTAAAGTGTTTAATATCGATAATATTTTTCAGTGATCAGCAAAGTGACTCTTGCAATCTTAAATATGTTACCCTGATTGCATCTGGAGCCTGTCCATCCTTTTTTGCAACTGCTGCAGGAAAAGTTTTCGTTTACACATGTGTCCGATTCGGAGCAATTGTATGAACAAAAGCTTAGACAATTATCCTTTCCATTCTCTGTAGGACTGCAAGCTAAAACATATGGATACATTTTGTTGATGAAATTAACAATTAATTTAACAATATTAATTCATATAATTATATAACTAAATTTTCTACATTACGTATACATTTTTTTGTCTTAACACTCATTCCACAGGTATTTTTACATGCATGTTGAAAGGTTTCAATGGTCCTTCTTGTATCTTTCCTATAAAAGATATCTATGGGCCTTCTACGTCAATCGCACAACTTTCAAACCATTGAATTTGGTATATGTTTCAAACAAGAGGTAATGACAAATTTTTCACCATTGTTCATGATAACTATACACTTACCATGCTTAGTTTGGTAACTCGATACCCATAGGCAGAGTAGGGGAACAATACAAGATATTTCAATCAATCAGTAATGTTCAACAAATAATCAACAGTGCTCCATTTTCAGTATATAATTAGAGCCCTCTATGTGTACCCCTGACCCAGGGACCTTGAAATTCAAAATCCTGGAAGAAGGACCCTTGTTCATCATCATAGCTATATAGGTAATTCATATTCTCAAAACCATGGAGCAGAGGCGAAGATTTCAATATAAATGCATTTTTACTTCCCTATGTTATTTAATATAGCCATCAAATCAAAACTCTTGAACCTGGTGCCATAAAATTCATAATTTTCGAAAAGGCACCTTTTCCCATCCCTACTATGTATGAAGTTACATGTACCTGTGGTTTGTTTAACACCCAGAAGCAGAGAAGATTTTCAAAGAATGAATGCATTTTCACTATATAAGTTGTAAAGCCCCGCCCTTACACCAGAACCCCTGACTCTGGGGTCATGGAATTCACAATTTTTAACAAGAAACCCCCTCCATCATCAAAACTTTGTATCTAGTATGTAGTTAGTTTGTTTAATACCCAGGAGCAGAGAAGAATATTTTCAAAGAATTAATGCATTTTCACTACATAATCTAGCACCAGAATTTCTGACCCTTGGGTCATGAAATTCGCAACTTTGGAAGTTGCTTCAATATTTATTACAATCATGTCAACAGTTTGAATACTACTTCTTAATGTCCAGGAGTCAAGGAGAAAATAGTTTAAAAATTGTATTTATGTAAGTGGGTTTAAAAATTGTATTAATTTGAGTGGATTTTTCTGAATCTCTCATGCCCAAGGGGTCAGGGACCATAAAATTTACAATTTTTATTACCCTTTATCTATAGATACCTATGTCAAATGGTTGAAATTGATTGAGCGGTTGCAGAGAAGATGCTGAAAATGTTCTCATGTTAACGCACAACAGATGATGACACACGAAAACAGATAGCGATAGGTTACCTATTATATAAAGCTGTGGTAATCGAGTACGCACAATTACACGCTTTCGATCAATTTTGAATAGCTTTTATCTGTTTGAGTAGTTTCTTCGATCTTGAAAACGTCCGTGCCATTGTGACAAACAAGTAGCATCATACATGTAAGAGTTAATTATTATAGTACCAAGACCCAGCGCTACGTACTTTGATATTTTCATGAACATATTGCCATATAACTTTCAAAATATCACTATTCCTTTATTGAAACTATTAATTATAGCATTTCACAGCTAAAATATGATATACAATAAAAAAAACTCTTACCAAACACATAAACTTCACATAGTGTTAATATCTTGTTATTCCCATAAGGTAACTCGATTTGTATTTCCTGAACTCGCACCTGTGGCATCCGGGAGGAATCTATCCATATATCGTCTCGATCAGTTATGCAATTTGGTTCTTTATCCTCATAAATGGTTATTTTTTGTCCACCATTTGTCACCCCAATTACCATAAAACCATTAATTCTTTCCTCTTACCAAAGGTAAAAAAAATAATGATAAAAATATATATAATTTAAAAATTAAATAATTAAATATTTCTCCTGTTTGCGTGTTTGAAAAAAAAAAGACATGGAGAAAATCATAATTCGTCTTTATGGAAATCCTTGAATGAAAACAAAATACTTATGAAACAAATAATTTCAAAAAAGTTCAAAATTTTCTTTAAAATAATCAAATAAGATTTGGTCGTGATTAATAGGAGCCAAATGATTTTTCAAAGTATGAAGAATAAAGAAAAATCTCTATTTTCTGATTACTAGTATATCCTCGCTGTATGAGAAGATCTTAACAACTTACGCAGTCCATTCCTATTGCGAATTCGAATTGATGTGATGGAGAATGAATTCCCTAGGTTAACAGTCCATTGTGGCTGGGTAGTAATATATTGTTGTGTGTGAGAACATGTATTAGTACCAAAATCTCCACGACTATCTCTACCATCTACAGCTTTATCAGAGGTCCAAACATCTAGAGTTGAGGTTTGGCGGGTTGTTTTCCATAAAGCAACGTTTTTACCTGCAGTTTTATAAAAATCTTTTCGATAAAGTGCATTTCAAGCAATGTTGAAAAAAAATGTTTTATTCTTTTGAACTTATTTAAGCCTGATGTAGTTTACCCTTACTATAGTAAATCAAAGTTTTTACAATCGTAAATTAATGTAGTTTTACTTCGAATTTCAGATAGATATATATATTTTTTTTTTAATTCTACAAGAACAATAGCAAACGGCCTGCAGGGGCTATTGTAAAAGTGTTGCCAATTTTATCCAAAATACTTTCATGTGTACAAAATTGACTCAATGTCAGGAATAACTGAAGATTCTTTAAAATATATTAATGTAAAATTATGTAATATTCTATGATTTTGAAAAAAAAAATTGTGGACAGATATCGGCTGACTTTCGCCAAGACACAGACAAGCTGGACAGCGCTCTCGTCCGCTTTATCGCAGAGTTTGTTCTTACATACCTCCAAAAACTTCAATCTCTTTCACAAATATCTGTCTTCCAAATTGTATTGTCATTTTGCTTGTTTTACACAATCTGTTGAAAAAGATAGTGGGGGACCGCGTGGGAATTCTCCCGTTGTAGCAGTTATGATTAGAGATATCACTGATCGTCACAGTTGTGGGGGACTGCATAGGATTGACTGAAAGCAAAAGACAAATAGACACAACCCTTATCTGATTAACGTCAGTCCTGTTGAATAAAAGATTCCCCTTCCTTCTCCATATGAGCGAACAATTCTCGAGTAGGACGTTTAACAATAAACAATCAATCAATCTTTCTATTTGATGACAAAAGGCAAAAATGCCACCATACATGTATATGGTTCCATCCCAGCTCAGTTCTTAGGAATAATGTATGAGGCGCCGTTTTGGTATTTACTGCCAAAAAGTGATATCACTTATTTGAATAGGTGATATCACCTATCCATTTCCAATAGGTGATGTCACCTTTTCAAATAGGTGATATCACTTATTCGAATACCTATCTGTATTTCTTACAACGATAAATAATGAATGCTCTCTAGACTATATAGATTTCCACTAGAACCAAGAAAATTCGGACTTCGGAATCCCAGTTTTTCACCAGTACTTTGGTCCAAGCCTGTACGTACCTTATATGTTATGGATCCCTCAGACCCTGTTATGTTATATAAATTTTGTACATTTTAACAAGCTGTGGTTCAAAAGAGTGGTCTGGCTTTCGCTCTTTATAATTTACAGGAGGTATATATTTTATCTATAGAACATTTTTCACGCGCACTGGATGAAAAATACAGTTTCCGCATGGCTGAAACTCTACTGAAACTCTGTGGAAACTTAAGGTTACTAATAGTTTCCACAAAGTTTCAGTGCGGAAACTTCAAGTTTCATCAAGTTTCCGCAGTGCGGAAACCAAAGGTGTCCACGAATCCAAATAGTTTCCGCAACTGAAACTTGCTGAAACTTGAGGTATACGCAAGGTTTCAGTATGCGTATATGGTTGAAATACATATGGTGTACCATAGGTTTCCGCAACTGAAACTTGAGGTTTACGCAAGGTTTCATTATGCGTATACGGTTGGAATACATATGGTGTACCATAGGTTTCCGCAACTGAAACTTGCTGAAACTTGAGGTTTACGCAAGGTTTCAGTATGCGTATATGGTTGAAATACATATGGTGTACCATAGGTTTCCGCAACAGAAACACTATAAATTATACAATTTAGCCCAGTTTTTCAACCAAAACTCATTTTCCCCCTGAATTTTCATGTTGGAAAAAACAAAACACACTCACACTAGTTATCAAAGAATATTTAATGTTATTATCAACATTTACATAAATTGGCTTGGCCATTTATTTTCTCTTGCATCATAAATATTTTTACAACTAAGTCCGAGCTCTCATGTCACAACAGGAGGACAGAGAAAATGTCTGCATTTAATGATGTCTGATACATGAGAGATATAATCTTGCGAGAGGAACTTAGAACTGCAATCAATCAACTAAACCTGAATTCGGTATATGCAAGTCTAGTATCATCAAGGAAATGTAAAAGTACTTGGTATACTAAATGCACAAGTTCACATCATTAGTAGCCAGTAAGCACCAAAGTGGATTTCTTTGTTAAATATTCTGTTTGTAGTACATCATCAACCAACAGAAAAGTCCTTGAGTGGTCCACATTTTTGAAGACCCACTTGCACTTCAAGTTGGATTGACCTGCTCGTCAGTTACTTCAACCTATTGAAAATATGTAAAAATATAGTTTAACAAAATCCCGATCTAAATAAAACAACATGTTAGATCCTCTTGCATACTCGCTACACAACATCTAACAGCATCCATAGAAGGTCACGTCAAATGTCAAATATGGAACAACTCAGACTCTAGACTTATTCATTCCAATAAATTAAATACAATAATTTTTGCATTCGAGTATTTGATTGGTAAATAGAATTTAACGTCTGACGTGACACTCTACAGGATGCCATTAGATTTTAGCCAGTATGTGCGCAGATCTAACATTTAATTTTAATAAGATTGACAAACTGAAAGTTCCTAAAACTGTTCTAGTACAAGCCTTTGTTTGATTAATTTCAGATTTTCAGCATTTTTGATCAGAATGATTTAAAATAAAATCTAAAAATTTATCAAGTGTAAAATCTCATTAGTTTATTAAAGTTGCCTCTTTTAAACACTTGACAAGGGATAATGAAATAAACAAACTTGAATGTATTTAAATGTACTGAATATGTATGTATGGACTTGTTTCTGATAAGATTTTCAAAGTAAATTAAGGATTTTTTTCTTCATTTTACTTGTTCATCAAAATATTTTTTGTACCCCTAACCTAGACCCTTAGACCATGATTCATGATATTTGAATAACAACTAGAGGCCCACAGACCTTATAGGTCACCTGAGTATCATGTAAAGCCTAGAAAAAACAAGAGGCCCACGGGCCTTATAGGTCACCTGAGCATTATGCAACAACTTTCCAGTTATTGAATTTGATTCATGTTTTAACTTAAGCCAGATGATATATGGCATTCACAATTTCGAAAGAGGCACCATTGATCATCATAACAGTACACTTAGCAGTTGCTTAGCTTGGTTACTGAATACCCATACACAGGGTAGGGGAACAAAAATGCATTCCAACTAATCAGTAATATTCAGCAATAATCAGTAGTGCCCCTAACACTGTGACATAAACCCCTGACCCTAGGTCCACATATTACACAAATTTTAAAAAGGCACTCTTAAAATTGCCTATCAAAAAATAAATAAATGTTTTATAAATACAAAGGAGCAGATTTCAAACAATTAATTCATTTTCAGTATATAAGTAGAGCCCCCCCCCCCCACCCCTGACCCAGGGTCCTTGAAATTCACAATTCTGCAAGATTAGGGCCCTTGCTCATCATGACTATATAGGTAGTTCATCTGCTTCATACCCAGAGACAGAGAAGAAAATTTTCAAAGATTTAATGTATTTTCACTATATAATCAATAGAGCCCCGCCCTAACATCAGAACCCCTGACCCTGGGGCCATAAAATTCATAATTTTAGAAGAGGCATTCTTGCTCATCATAACTATGTACTTAGTTAGTTTATTTAATTCCTAGGAGCAGAGAAGAAGATTTTCAAAGAATTCACATATTTTCAATATATAATCAAACTAGCCCTGCCTTAACACCAGAACCCCTGACCCTGGGACCATAAAATTCACAATTTAGGTAAAAGCACTCTTGCTCATCATTACTATACACTTAGTTAGTTTATTTAATACCTAGGAGCAGAGAAGAAGATTTTCAAAGAATTCATGTATTTTTACTATATAATCTATAGACCCCCCCCTCCTCAACACCAGAACCCCTGACCCTGGGACCATAAAATTTACAATTTTGGTTGAGGCACTCTTGCTCATCATAACTATGCACTTAGTTAGTTTATTTAATACCTAGGAGCAGAGAAGAAGGTTTTCAAAGAATTCATGAATTTTCACTATATAATCAATAGAGCCCCCCCCCCCCCCCTCAACACCAGAACCCTTGACCCTGGGGCCATAAAATTCACAATTTTGGTTGAGGCACTCTTGCTCATCATAACTATGCACTTAGTTAGTTTATTTAATACCTAGGAGCAGAGAAGAAGATTTTCAAAGAATTAATGTATTTTCACTATATAATCAATAGAGCCCCCCTCCCCCCCACACACACACACAAGAACCCTTGACCCTGGGGCCATAAAATTCACAATTTTGGTAAAAGCACTCTTGCTCAACATAACTATACACTTAGTTAGTTTATTTAATACCTAGGAGCAGAGAAGAAGATTTTCAAAGAATTCATGTATTTTTACTATATAATCTATAGAGCCCCGCCCTAACACCAGAACCCCTGACCCTGGGACCATAAAATTCACAATTTTTGTTGAAGCACTCTTGCTCATCATAACTATGCACTTAGTTGGTTTATTTAATACCCAGGAGCAGAGAAGAAGATTTTCAAAGAAATAATGCATTTTCACTATATACTTATTTAGCCCCGCCCTAGCACTAGAACCCCTGACCCCAGGGCCATGAATTTCACAATTTTGGTAGAGGACTCAATGCTGATTACAATCATGCAAACAGTTTGACTGCTTGATGTCCAGGAGTAAAGAAGAAGATTTTTAAAGATTGCATTAATTTTAGTGGTTTTGGCCCCACCCCCCAGGCCCCAGGGGGGCAGGGATCATGGAATTCACAATTTTTGTTCCCCTTTAGCCATAGATGCTTTGTGCCAAATTTGGTTGAAATTGGTGCAGTGGTTGCAGAGAAGAAGATGAAAATGTTCAAATGTTAACACACGATGGACGACGGACGACGACGGACGAAAACGGATAGCAATAGGTCACCTGAGTTTACTCAGGTGACCTAAAAATATGTTTGTTCCCGACCGACCCTAATATATAGTGCTGACCCTAAATTTTTTTTTAATGCTTTTGTCCCATGAAGTGCAAGATTTCACTTGGGGAATTATAGTCTCCAACTTTGCAAGCTTTTCAACATGTTCAAGACAGAAAGAAGTTTGAGTTACCTTTCTTTTAAGTCACAGAAATACTTGAAAACACCATTTCTTTTGTCATTAATGTTACTTCTATACACTTTTTGATTCAAGAAGCAAAAAAAAAAAAATGTTTCAAAAAAAAAACTAATTACCTACCTATCTACCTATATTTTTTCAGCCTGAAAGGGGAAACAAATATATTTTTTTTCTAGGCCTAACAACTTCCACTCAATTGAATTTTGTTCGTAATTTAAACAAAAAGCCATGAAATTCACAATTTTGAAAGACGCACCTTTGTTTATCATAATTATACACTTAGTTAACATGCTTACTTTGGTTACTTAATACCCAAAGGTAGATCAGAGTAATAAAGATACAATGCAATTCCATTTTATAACCACCAGTTGTGTACCCCACCCCAAAGGAACCACTAACCCTGGGGCCACACATTTCAAAATTTACTGAATGTTTTCATAGGTTTTATTTCATCTTAAATGGTTTGATTAATTCCAAAGTGCTATAAGACCCACCCTAATACTAGAATCCTTGACCCTGGGGTCATGAATTTCATAATTATGGTAGAGGACTCAATGCCGATTACAAT